AGCGCCCAGCCAGTCACCCCGGCATGTGGGCGCGGCGGGACGCCGTTCGCGGCCGCGGCCCGAGTTCGCCCAGCCCGCCTGCGCCGCCCCCGCCCGTGCCTCCCTCGCTGCCCCGCGGCTGCCGCCGGCGCAACCGGACGTGGCGGGCGCTCGGCCACCCTGCCCAGGTAGGTGCTGGGGGCAGGGACGAGGGAGGGCCACGAGCGGAGTGTGGGGCCGGGGAGTGTCCTGGGGGGAGGCCTCGGGCCGGTCGCTGCGCGCCCCTCCCTCCGGCTCCTCCGTCGCGCCCGGGGCGGGCTCAGGTGCGGGCCGAGCCGGCGAGCCAGGCGGCGGCGGCGCGCGGGACCGGTGTCCGGTGTCGGGTGTCCGGTGACGGGAGCCGCCGGCCGGGTGAGCGGCGGTCCCCACGGGGCCGGGGGCTTGGGGTGGTGGCGGAGGCCTCCTCCGCGGGGCCCAGCGAGTCCTTCGGGGAAGTTCTGGGATCGGGGCGGGGTGTGCACGCCCGCGGGGCTAGTGGGGACAGCGGCCGGGAGCCCGGGCGGTGGCAGGGAGGATCTGGGCAGGGCTGGAGTTTCTGGACTCGGGTGGCAGCACAGCCGCGGCGCCTTGTGGCTCTCTAGCCGGCTCGGCCTCCCCCCACACTCGTGGGACAGGGCTGTGTGGCCCTCCTGCGCCCGGAGAACCCGGCTCGAGCGTGTGCCACCCCCCACCCCACCCCGCTGCGCCTTCCCTGCGCCGGCACCACCCAGGGGGTCCCCACGTGGGGTCGGGACCTCGGCTGCCGCTGGAAGGCTGGTCCAGCCTGTGTCCCCAGTGGGCAATGACCTCCCTCAACCAAGTGGGCACTTCTGGCCGTGGCGTCCACGTGGGCGCCCCAAGGAGCCACAGTTTGTAGGTTTTCTCAGAGTTGTATCTTCTCAGGGAGGGGTCTCAGAAAAGGACCAAGAGCGGCACCTTCTAAACACATTCGCCTCATCTCCCAAAAGGCTTTTATTTGATTGCTTGTTTAATACAAACAAAGACTTGGATACAACTATTTTTACTATGCGAATAAATAAGTGCAAGGTATATATGGGCATAGATTTGACATGAGTGGAATTTTCTAGGTAAACCCATGTGTATGGTGATTTCAAGTTTCTTAAGAACGGTATATATTTACAGAACTTACCGAAATGTTTCAGTAATTAAAAAATGGAGATAATTTTTTAAAATGTAGAATTAAAACCGCAATTGTAGAGCAGCACCTGTGGAAGGTGCGAGAATCAGGCCAAATCGACGGGATCGTGGAAAACTTAACTGATCCTATGACCCTTCAGAAATTGGTTTTTGGAATAAATAGCAGGTGTGGGCTGTTTTGCACTCTTAAAAGGTGCTGTGCTAGAAGAAAACCAAGTTAGCAGAGCTTTTCCTTTATTGGATCTTGAATAAGTGGAAGTTTGTTGTGCTTAATGTGTTAGGGGAAAGCCATGCAAGTTTGAATCAGCAATGATTATTTGTCCTGTCCAGGAGTGAAAGTGGGAAAAACCCTGATTAGTTAATTTCCTCGTTTGTTTCTCCTACCCTGGCTCCACTTCTTAACGCCACACTAGATTATATTGCATAGTGCACGAATCACGGAGCTTCTCAGGCTGAACTGGCCTTCATCTTGCAGATGTGGAAACTGAGACCAAGGCAGCCCGGAATCTCAGACCTCTTTGAGAGGCGGAGCTGGGAGTGCAGGCTGGAATTCCTGCTGGTTGTCCTGTGAGCACTGCTATGCTTGAATTTCCATCTTAAAGCTTGGGGTGGGGTTAACACGCTGGGGGCAGAGTGAATCTACAGTCTCAGATGGCCCCCATAGTCAACAGCCGGACCACAGATAGTTCTCAGGTTGGTCCCCCAA